TCAATCAACCATCACTTCTTTTCCACAACCTCACCTGTGTTCACACTTGGCCACCACTTGGATGTGCAGCCTCTGTGGCATCTTTTAACCTTTGTTATCCCAGTGGTCACCGGCAGCACAACCCTATCCTCCAGCTCTCCCAGACCTTCTCCTTCACTGGCGTTGGCTTTTAAGCTCCTTGAAACCTACAGTTTCAAGCCCCGCCTTTTACTCCCAGCACTTTCACATCCTCCTGGAACGATCCAACTTTGTGACTTCTGGGCTCCTACACCCAGGCCGCTGAGCTCTCTGGAGGAAATGACTCAATGGTACAAGTTGGCATGGCAACAGCCTCATTACCTCCACCCTCGGCTGACCCTCTGTGGTCCTTGGCAGTCCTTTCCCCTGCCTTCCCTCAGTGATTCTCCGTCTGCTGCAGTAGCTCTTCGTCTGTTACCAGTCTCCTCATCTCCTTCTCTCTCCTTCCGCCTCCTCTGTCTGAAGATAACTTCCCTCCCAATCCACTGAAGACATAAAAGCTGTCATGGAGGGCCTCTCAGTTCCATGCTGACCCTCTCACCAGCTAGTCTGTATTTGCACCTTGTTTAGGACACTTTCTACTCCCCCCGAGAAAGAGGGTTTCTCAGCTTTGGAGACCATAGATTTTCTTTAAGCATCCTTTGTCACTTAGTCACACCTGGTGGGCTACAGTCCATAGGTTTGCAAAGAGTCAGACGTGATGAAGCAACCTAGCATAGCTGCACACTGTATCTTAAACCTCTGCCCCAGCCAGATCTATTCATTATTTCCCACAACATATTTTATGGTTTTCTGATCATGGGCCTTTTCTCATTGAGCTCTTTATGTTGAATTTCAGCATATTTTCTAAAACTAGCTAAGTGACCTTCTTTTCCAAAATGTTTCCTTTTTTTTTTAATCTCTGATGTCAGTGGTTTTCCTTATGAACTGCTATTACACTTTTGTCTGTTCACTCATGTTAATTGCTCAGTCGTGTCCAACTCTTTGCAACCTCATGGACTATAGCCTGCCAGATTCCTTTGTCCATGGAAGTCTTCCAGGCAAGAATACTGCAGTGGGTAACCATACCTTTCTCCAGGGGATCTTAATGACCCAGAGATCAAACCTGTGTCTCCTGCATTGCAGGCAGATTCTTTACTGTCTGAGCCATGAGAGAATCCCCAAATAACCTGTTCTTAGCAGAGGATGATTATGATCCATCAACCCCTGAGTTATGGCCCCAGCATGCTCCCACAACATGCCTCTCTGTTCGTTACTTAGCCCATTTTCTCATGTCTTGGTTTAACTATGCAATTGACTATAAGCTCCAGGAAAGCAGGGAGAATACATTATACCTTCTTTGTAGCCCACATCAGTCCTAACACAGAGCTTCACATAGACTGAGTGCTCAGCAGATATTTATAAAGTGATCAATAATTCAGTCCTTCCAGGCTATGCTCCTTTCAGGACCAATTTCATGAGTATTTATGTAGATATTAATTAATTTAATATTACTAATGATATTATTAAGATGTAGATTAGATATTACTAACTGCCATACATTTTCCAAGCTAAAGAAAACGTACATGGAAAAACATGGCCTAACCTTTTCAGGTAACTTTTGCACTCTTAAGTTGTTCATTTTCAGAACTTTAAAGGATTTTTTTAGTTATAATTTAGACATTACCAATTTATTCTGCAAAATTCCTAAACAAAAATATGCTTAGAAATTTCATTACTTGGGACTTGGAGACAAAATAGTAATTTATGAGCAAAGTATAGCCTTACTGTAGTTTCCTCTAATGTTTCAGGCACTCTCTCTCCTCTCATCTGCCACTATTAACCTTTCCAGTTCTTGGGTTCTGTTATACTTCTTTTGTTTCCCATTTTTGTAACTAATAAAACCGTCAAGTTTTCTTGATGCTTATTAAAACAATTGAATGCTAAGGATGACGCTAAGATCTTTTTTTGGTGGGGGAGGGGATGTTCCTGATTGTTGAGGTGAACTCCTTATTGCCAAATTCAGACTTAAATTGAAGAAAGTAGGGAAAACCACTAGACATTCAGGTATGACCTAAATCAAATCCCTTGCAATTATACAGTGGAAGTGACAAAAAGATTCAAAGGATTAGATCTGATAGACAGAGTGCCTGAAGAACTGTGAACGGAGGATTGTGACATTGTACAGGAGGCAGGGATCAGGACCGTCTCCAAGAAAAAGAAATGCAAAAGGGTTGTCTGAGGAGGCCTTACAAATAGCTGAGAAAAGAAGAGAAGCTAAAGGCAAAGGAGGAAAGGAAAGGTAACCCCATCTGAATGCCAAGTTCCAAAGAATAGCAAGGAGAGATAAGAACGCCTTCCTCAGTGATCAATGCAAAGAAATAGAGGAAGACAATAGAATGGGAAAGACTAGAGATCTCTTCAAGAAAATGAGAGATACAAAGGGAATATTTCATGCAAAGATGGGCACAATAAAGGACAGAAATGGTATGGCCCTAACAGAAGCAGAAGATATTAAGAAGAGGTGGCAAGAATACACAGAAGAACCGCACAAAAAAGATCTTCATGACCCAAATAACCACAATGGTGTGATCCTAGAGCCAGACATCCTAGAATGCAAAGTCAAGTGGGCCTTAGGAAGCATCACTAAGAACAAAGTGAGTGGAGGCGATGGAATTCCAGTTGAGCTATTTCAAATCCTAAAAGATGGTGCTGTGACAGTGCTGCCCTCAATATGCCAGCAAATTTGGAAAACTCAGCAGTGGCCACAGGACTGGAAAAGGTCAGTTTTCATTCCAATCCCAAAGAAGGNGATACCACCCTTATGGCAGAAAATGAAGACAAACTGATGAGTCTTTTAATGAAAGTGAAAGAGGAGAGTGTAAAAACTGGCTTTAAACTCAACATTCATAAACAAAAATCATGGCATCTAGTTCCATCACTTCATGGCAAATAGATGGGGAAACAATGGAAACAGTGACAGACTTTATTTTCTTGGGCTCCAAAATCACTGTAGATAGTGACTGCAGCCATGAAATTAAAAGATGCTTGCTCCTTGGGAAAAAAGCTATGACCAACTTAGACAGCGTATTAAAAATCAGAGACATTACTTTGCCAACAAAGGTTCATTTAGTCAAAGCTATGGTTTTTCCAGTAGTCATGTATGGATGTGAGAGTTGTACTATATAAAGAAACTTGAGTGCCAAAGAATTGATTCTTTTGAACTGTGGAGTTGGAGAAGACTCTTGAGAGTCCCTTGGACTGCAAGGAGATCCAGCCTGTCAATCCTAAAGGAAATCAGTCCTGAATATTCATTGGAAGGACTGATGCTGAAGCTGAAACTCCAATTCTTTGGCCACCTGATGGGAAGAACTGACTCATTTGAAAAGACCCTGATGCTGGGAAAGATTGAGGGCAGGAGGAGAAGGGGATGACAGAGGTTGAGATGGTTAAATGGCAACAGTGACTCAATGGACATGAGTTTGAGCTAGTTCCGGGAGTTGGTGATGGACAGGGAGGCCTGGCGTGCGGCAGTGCATGGGGTCGCAAAGAGTTGAACACGACTGAGGGACTGAACTGAACTGAACCACCAAGTACTGTTGCTTCATTTCTGTACTTTTTTCCTTCCTCCCCTCTATTCTTTCAAGATCAGTGAATAGCAGTAAGTCCACATAGTTCAGGAAATTCATTCATTACTAAGCCTTCATCCTTAGCTAGCAAGTCATTTGTTGCAATAATTTGTAGTTATTTCTCTTCTTGACTTTACATCACCAGGTTTCTGGCAATTGCAACAGTGAGAGAATAATCCATGTCAGAGTTACATTGGACAATATTTGAGCGATTGCTTTTTAAGAATGTTCACATATAAACGATCCAGTAATCACATACTTTCAGGGAAAATTATTGTAATTTTTAGCATTCTTCATAATATCACTGATTTAAAGACCTTCTCCCTTCCATTCTTTTTTGTTTTTCATCTATGCCTCTAAATAGTCGTAACTCTAAATTAGAATTTTACCACTGTGTGTTCTACTGTGTTGAAAGTCTTCCAGTGCTTTATAAAGAAAATTTATTTTAATTGGACTTATCCTGTGATAGCACATACTTATGTAATGTTATAATTAAATTTCTGTACTCTTATTTTCTAGGTCACAAATGGGTACTTTTCATGGGGCAGTGGTTTAGCAACCTTATCCAATATCGATATTCGAATTCCAACAGGTAAGAATCATTTATTACTAGTTTGTAATTGTTTTTTTAAGGAACAAATTTATTTTTGGGAATTCAGGGGGAAAGCATTTGTCACCTCCAAAGCATTCGTTCTTTCATTTGAATAATTCATCATGAAATAATATGAAGCCATATTGTGAACTAGCATCAAGTTTGTATCTGTTCATTATCATGACTGTGGTTTTCCAAAATAACTGAGCCTAACAAATGGAAAGACTTTTTAAAGACAAACATTACTGATAGTTATCTCTTAGCACTGTGAAGCTCATGAATCCCTGTATCCCTGAGAGAATGACTGGGAATTGTAAGACCTGCCTATCACGACAGAGTGGGGACCTTGAACAAATTATTTACCATCCAAATGAACTGTTTTTAGTTTATTTGCTGATTTGTGGCATTTAAATAATGGAGTAGTTGATTTCTCATTTTGTTGAAGAAAGATATTAAAGAAATAGTGTTTGAGAAAATAGTTTTCTATCCCCGAAGAAAACTGATAACGTTTTCAGATATTTAAGACTCAAATACCCTGTAGTTTTTACTAAAATGTTTGGATAATTGGATATAAATATTTTTTGACTTGGCCTCATGGTCAATAACTTGGAATTTTTGTATTAAACATGCAAATCAAAGTAAGAACTGATTAAAGTGATTAATCACTTTAATCTTAATTATCTGTTTTAGTCAAAATTACCTTTTTCTCTAGAATGAATTGAATAATAAAGGTAATACTAATCTAGGTGACTTAGGCAAAGTATTTCGCTGCTGCTTTTACTAGAGTCAGTTATTCTCATAATTTAAAAATAATACATCAAGGGACTATCCTGGTGGTCCAGTGGCTAAGACTTCAAGGGCTGAGTTTGATCCCTGATCAGGGAACTAAATCCCCCATACCACAGCTAAGACCTGGAAGAGCCAAATAAATAAATATTTTTTAAAAATAGCATATCAAAACCTATAGATTTTAATTTTCCTTCCCTTTTCCAGAAACCTTATGTATCAGTAAAAGGAGCTGTTTAGAATACTATTGCTTGGGACCTAAACTGGGCCATAGACTGTGGAACATCAGCCTTTTCTAAATGTGTTTTGATTTTATTTTATAAGTGAATTCCTTTTCATCCTGTTGTTATCCTTTGTTTCTTTTCTCTAGGTCAGTTAACCATGATTGTGGGCCAAGTGGGATGTGGGAAGTCCTCTCTTCTCCTTGCCATCCTCGGAGAGATGCAGACCTTGGAAGGAAAAGTTCACTGGAGCAAGTATGTGTATTTTTAATCAGTTTCTGTTGGTCTGTCACACATCCGATGATCTCCCAAGGGAAGGAATGAGAACAGTAGATTCCCATGTTCGAGGTCTGAGGGCCCCTTGGAAATAAGCACAGCTTTAAAAAAACAAATTAGTGGAAACTTTAAATGTTATAAGTTAAAAAAGATAAAAGAATTCACGATAGAGGTTTATAGTATGTATAAACTAATATATTGCTTTTAGCAAGATTGGGATCATAAAGGTAAATTTTGAAAGTTAAATGGATAACACAGATAAATAAAGTTTAAAAATTTATCCTATAATTAAAGAAAATTTGCATTATTTATAAAGTTTAAATGCACACAGAGCCTTAGTGATCCTGTGTTCAGAGAAGAAATATCAAATAATCTTTTTGAAACTCTTCCTAAGAGACTGAGAAATCATCCATTTCTCTTTACATCCAACTTAAACTAGACACTTAAAGTGTCTAGTTAGGGATGTGGCTATGTCAGACTAGTGTGTTGCACATCCACAAAGACATTGTGCTTTTTCCGAATGTTTGAATCTTTGTTTTGGATTCTTCAAAAAACATCGTAGTAATAAGGTTACTCCAGACCATACTATTATATAATTGTGTAATAATGAATAGGTCATATTTATTTATTTAGTTTGATCTACCTGGTAGACAGGCTTCCCAGGTGGTGCTAGTGATAAAGGACCCACCTGCCAATGCAAGAGACAAAAGAGACTTGGGTTTGATCCCTGGGTCGGGAAGTTCCCTGGAGGAGGGCATGGCAACCCACTCCAGTATTCTTGCTTAGAGAATCCCATGGACAGAGGAGCCTGGTGAGCTACAGTCCATGGGGTCACAAAGGGTAGGACATGACTGAGCAACTTAACATGCACACACACACCTGGTAGACCACCCCAACCCCCACAGTTATTATGGAGAAATTTCGAACAGCTTATCTATGATATTGGACTGTTGACAGTCTACAGTCTACAGAAAATCACTGCAGTGATTTTCATCCAGGTTATCCCCAGGGAACACTGGACAATGTCTGGAAACATTTTTTGGTTTTCATACTAAGGGAATTGGTTTGCTTACTGATCTAGTTGGTGGTAGCCAGTTCAGTTCAGTTCAGTCACTCAGTCATGTCTGACTCTTTGTGACCCCATGAACCGCAGCACACCAGGCCTCACTGTCCATCACCAACTCCCAGAGTCCACCCAAACCCATGTCCATTGAGTCGGTGATGCCATCCAACGATCTTATCCTGTGTCATCCCCTTCTACTCCTGCCCTCAATCTTTCCCAGCAGCAGGGTCTTTTCCAGTGAGTCAGCTCTTTACATCAGGTGGCCAAAGTATTGGCGTTTCAGCTTCAACATCAGTCCTTCCAGTGAACACCCAGGACTGATCTCCTTTCAGATGGACTGGTTGGATCTCCCTGCAGTCCAAGGGACTCTCAAGAGTCTTCTCCAACACCACAGTTCAAAAGCATCAATTCTTCAGCACTCAGCTTTCTTTATAGTGGCCAGAAATGCTACTAAATATCCTCCAACACAGGACAGCCCTCCACAAGAATCCCCCTGCAGTGCAGGAGACCTGGGTTCTATCCCTGGTTGTAAAGATTCCCTGGAGAAGGAAATGGCAACCCACTACAGTATTCTTGTCTGGAGAATTCCATGGACAGAGGAATCTGGCAAGCTATACTCCATGGGGTCGCAAAGAGTTAGGCACAACTGAGCAGCTAGCATACACGTCCTCCAACACACAGGACAACCCTCCGCAGCAGGGAATTATCTGGCTCCAAATGTTGGTTGCGCTGGGGAGACCTTGCTCTAGACTTGCACACGTCCATTTAGTTCTTATCATTGTAAGTTCCGTTGTGGCTTAATCTACTGTTAACCTACACAGACATCTCTTCAGAATGAGTCAAAACTATTTACAGGCATTTTGAGAATAGGTTCTATTTTAAACTCCAATTAAGAGACGGAAATGGTTGGATGTGAAATTTGAGCTGGAAACAGCAGAACTGTAAATCCTATTTTTGGTATCATTGGTGAAAGAAGAAAGCTGAGAAATGTGGTGGGTACAGTTTATTCCTGTTGCAATTGTATACATGAAACTGTTTAGTGTGTATCTAGCAGTGAGCTCGGTGAATAACTGCCCCTTGCAGTTTCATTCACAAGGGGGTCCTGTTGATCACTAAAGCCAGATGCTATGTGATGTGTGCCCTGCCACCACCGCCTTCCATCTTGGATGGACGCAGGTTTTGAGGAGAAGGTTTTACTGAAATAAATTATATCATGTGACATGTACGACCATAATGAAGTTATTTGGGTTTTGTTTTTACCTTGTTTCATTAGTATTAAAACAGAAAGAATTAGAGACCATGACAGAAAAAGCTTGAGATTTTATTTTCATACCTCTAGAATGTTTTTATGATCTACTCTTCTCTGGTATTACTCTACCGGGGCCAAATTCACTCCCAGTATTATCATTAAGAATTATTATCATTTTGTTAATGGATAAATAGATGATTTGGGAATTAGAAAAGCATTTTACACAATCTGTTTATTTATTGAGTTTTCTAAACAAGATACATACGTGTATATACGTATACATATATATATTATAGTTTAGGCAAATTTATACCATTTATAGCCTATCTCATTTCTTAAAGGTTGTATTTTATTTGATATAACATACTATAATAAAGCTTGAAAAACAAAGATATCAAGAAAGAAAATAAGATTTAAATAATAATCTGAGCAATTAATAGGTAGAAATGCATGTATTGGAGTCCTGCATATTTATAAAACATAGGCCACAAATTCTACTCTGAGTTCCATGGAAGCTAGTCAAAGAGGGAAGTATGAGATAAAATCAGACATATACTTAATAAAGGTAAAGTTTTTTTTAAGAAATAGAAAAGAAATATCTCCCATAATTCCTAATTTTAAAAAAGGTAAGAAAAGGTTATATCTTAAAGTCAGAGTCAATAAAATGAAAATATGAGAAAAATTTAAGAAAATTCTAAGTATTTATAAAATCACTATAATTTAAAAATCATCTCTTTATGAATACTTGTCTTAAGAATATCCCATCTCTTCATAGCAGAAAGGGCTAAATTTTTCTTCAAAAATATTTGAGTTGGCTCTGACACACACCCAATAAAAACTAACCCCTAAAAGATTGGATAAGCTAATAAAAAAATTCTATTTTCTTTATTTACAAGAACTACTTAATTTTTTTCCATGATATCCATGATTATCTGATAAAATATATTTTCAAATCAAGAATGCTTAGAGGATACTGACCTTTTTTAACAGAGTTATTTGCAATAACTCTTTATTCTGGGAAAAATAACTGTTGCACATATTCCAATAAGGAAAGTTATACAAATGTTATTAGAATAAAGCTAGTTTAGAAGTTATCCGTATTGACAGGTTGATTTTGTATAAATGCTGAGAAGTACTTTACCTTGGACTGAATTGTTTGCTGTTTTTTAAAGCTCAAGACAAAATAAAGTGAAACAGTCAAGGGTATGGTAAAGTACCAAGCACCTTGCTGTCATTCTTTCATCATTGCCTGTATCTCTGGTTGCATGAATTTTATTTTTAAATGTGCCCTCATGGTTGGCAGGAACAAAGCCCTGTAAAGTACCCTGTCCTATTGCAGGAAGAAATATTTACTTTGGACAGGAGAGAAGGCCCTGGTCCTCACGCAGGACAGACCCACATGGGTAGAACTTGGTACACAAAATCCATCTAAATATAGACGCCTCCTCGGCACTTGCTACCTTTAATGTAGTCTGACATGCAGTAGCCCCAGTCGAGAAAGGAGAGAGCAGTGAGGGAGGGACTGAAAAATTCTCCAAGCTTGTCGGAAGGCCAAGGGTCTTGCTCCTGCGTCTGCTGTGCGCTGTATTTGTTGAAAAGCAAATGTTCTGCCCAACTGAAGTTGTCCTTTCCTAGTCGTCATGATAAATAATAATTCCTACTGACATCCCAGGAACTAGAACGAAATAAAACGCTTCACTTGTTGGATGGTCCAGGGAGGGAGTCCAGAATATGTAATAATCCCAGTAATTATATAAGACATAATCATCATTTATCTCTGTCTTCCCTTACTTTTTCTTCCATCTTGCTCATGCCATCAGCCATCCTGTCAGACCCCATCTGTTGTGATGGTCTGTTTTCTGATGTCTTAGTGTAACTGCCTTTATAGCAGTGGCTCAATCACTCTAAGACTTTGCCTGGCATGAAGGGATAATAACACAATGAGTCAGCTTTCCTGGATCAGACATGATATAGCATGTTTGTGTTCACATCTAGCTTCCCCTTTTCCAAATACTGTTCCTGATTTCAGCTTGCAGAAGTCACTCTTTCCCATTCCATAAGATACCAACCATGAACTTGGAAGCTGGTAGATTACCAAGTTTTAACTTTTACTGTTGAAGGAAAATACACACAAATCTTGCATGCAAAAGTGAAATTGGATGCTATTTTCCAGAAGGGGATTTTCCATCTGACATGTTTTGAATTCAGGTGTTTCAGAAATGATGGAGTTCACCTAAAATATTAAAATTTAAATAATAAAATCAATAAGTCCTTAGGCATATTTTCCCCCTTGGTATAGGTATAACTAAATTTAATTAGTCAAATGCCTCATTTTACATTACTCATATAGATCAGTAATTAATTATACCCAAATGTTACAATGTGACCTTTATACAGGTCTGTCGTTCTTTCCAGTTCCTTAAGGGCCAGGCTGTGTCTCAACCCTTCAAGTTTAGAGTATAAAAAGTATTTCTTCCTCTCTTGCCTTAGGGTAACTAATAAGGAATTTAAATAGATTAAATTTGAATTTTGATGGTAGGGACTGCCTGGAGATATCAAATTCTAATACAGACTAGGAAAGTATTCCATAAAGATTATCCAAACTCACACAGCTAGTTGGAGCAAAGTTGGGGCTGCTGCTGCTGCTGCTAAGTCACTTCAGTCGTGTCTGACTCTGTGCAGCCCCATGAACCGCAGCACGCCAGGCCTCCCTGTCCATCACCAACTCCCGGAGTCCACCCAAACCCATGTCCATCGAGTCGATTTGTTGACAAAGTAATGTCTCTGCTTTTTAATATGCTGTCTAGGTTGGTCATAACTTTCCTTCCAATATGGCTATTGTGTGAACCCAAATTTTATATGAAGGAGAACAGTGCTGTCTTTTGGAAGCTTAATTATTTCCTAGTTGATGAGGATGTAAAAGAAGACTGTCATTTATCTGATTTGTCTTTGGGATTAGTATCAACAGCCATTTGAAAGTGTAGTTATTTAATATATACAATGTTTATCTCTTATCTGATTTGTGCACGCATTCATCCTATATTTATATTTCATAATTAATGAACATTGTTTGCCATACTTGCAGTGTAAATGAATCTGAACCTTCTTTTGAAGCGACCAGAAGGTATTATTTCTATTTTAATCTGCGTTTAATAAGAATAACTACCTTCCTCAGACTTTTCCTGATATTCCATCTCTTACTCTTAGTCATTTTATTCATTCTGATAATGTACAAAGTTGTTTATTAAAATGGACTAGTAAATTTCTGATCGCAGTAGTACCCAACATCTGGAAGCTGCTAAAAGAATTAATTTGCTAAACTAAATGGCCCATCGTATCAATTGTTGTCTTCTCCATGTGCCACACAGATCTCAACTTTGACTAAAACTCAAACAGTTCTTAGCAAATTGGATTTGGGATTTCATAAAATAAAGATGAAAGAATTATTATGTATATTATTTATGAGTTAAACAATGATGAAATCTGCTTGTAAACTAGAACTGGAGAACCAAGTACTTCATCTATTTTAAAAAAAAAAAAAAAGAAAAGAAAACCTTAAAGAACGGGGGTGGCGGCAGGAGGGAAGCAGCCATGCCAGAGATTGGGAACCACTGTTTTAATGCACAGATGGTTATCTAAGAGACCACTAGCATACTATATATTATCATGCCCTCTGAACTCCTAAGATGTAATGTTTCAGGATGATCACTGAGCATTTCTAACTACCTTTTTTCTACACTTTATTCTCTTTTAACCTTAATTCCTAAATTAGTAGTTACAGAACATAACTAACTGTGAAAGTGTGAATTTTAAGCTGACCCCTTCCCTACCCCAGGCTCATCATCCTCTTTATCTCCAACTCACATGCATTTTCCTAATTACTGCAAATTAAAATATGATGTATAGACATCTGGTAGAATTTGCAAGCCAAAAAGTGGGGCGCAGGGAGGAGGCTATCATTTTTTAAAAATAAACTGTTTCAATATGTATTGAAATACGTGGTTTTTAAATGTGTAGTTATTTCATTGTTGAAATGGACTCCTCAAAATTATTCTTTGCTATGAAATATTTACATTATCTATTACCTTAAAATATGTTCATGTGAATATAGTACAAACGCATAATTACAGTATCAGTTCACATCCTTTTTAAAGGTATTCCTGTAAAATTCATAGTTAATGTAAGTGCTTTTAATATGAAGTAAAATATCTGTGGTTATTAAAGTTAATTGTTATTTATATTTAAATTATTGTAAAAATTGTAGTCATTTTAGAAAATAGAATTTTAATTAATAGTTCATACCTCAAAATATTTCTTTAGCATAGCAAAATCAAATTTGCATGTTGTGTGTTGTTTTAATTAAGTTCTAATCCCTTTAATTTAGTGGAATATTTAACCACTAATTAATAAGGTTGATGGTCATTAAAATATTCTTTTAGAAACTCTCCACTTCTGTCTTTGAGATATTTTTTCAACTTTCATTTTTCTTAGTTATACAAAAGTACAGGTACAGCACCGCTATCTTGAGTAATTTTGGTATTTTGTTTTTCTTTTCCATTTTCCAGTAGGAACAGGTATTCTGTGGCTTATGCAGCTCAAAAGCCTTGGCTATTAAATGCTACGGTAGAAGAAAATATTACCTTTGGAAGTCCTTTCAACAAGCAAAGGTAATTTTGAATGTATAAAATTTAGAGCTAAAAAGAGCAACTATTTCTGATCCCTCTGTTTTGTTCACAGTTTCTGGAGTCTTTTCTAAAAAAAATTTTATTGGAGCATAGTTCATTTACAGTGCTGTTAGTTTCNGTGGCTTATGCAGCTCAAAAGCCTTGGCTATTAAATGCTACGGTAGAAGAAAATATTACCTTTGGAAGTCCTTTCAACAAGCAAAGGTAATTTTGGATGTATAAAATTTAGAGCTAAAAAGAGCAACTATTTCTGATCCCTCTGTTTTGTTCACAGTTTCTGGAGTCTTTTCTAAAAAAAAATTTATTGGAGTATAGTTCATTTACAGTGCTGTTAGTTTCAGGGGTACAGCAAAGTGAACCAGTTTTAGTATACATATATCCACTTTTTTAAAGATTCCTTTCCTATATAGGCCGTTACAGAGTATTGGATAGAGTTCACTGTGCTATGCAGCATATACTTGATATCTGTTTTATGTATAGTAGTACATATATGTCGATCCCAATATCCCAGCTTCTCCTTCCTCCCACCCATTCCCTGATTCTGAAATCTTTATATCAGGACTGCCTTTCTTCTCTGTTTGCCCTGCTTCTGTCCTCATCACCAGATCTATTAAGTCAACTTTTGTAAGAGAAGCCTCACTGGGATTCAGCCCATTATATGCACTTACTGAGAACAATTTGTACAGCAAAAACAAACAGCCAAAACAGAAGTTGTGTGTGTATGGGGGTGGGGGGTGCAGGGTGAGGGTGGTGCTGAGGTTGTTGGTAAATAGAAGAAAAATCCCAGTAAGTTGCAGAAGGAGGGTTAACCATGGAAAAAGAAGAGAAGGAATATGGGATCTGAGGGGTCTGATTACTCAGAGCAGCGACAGTATGTCTTCTTCCAATCATCTTCTAAACACCCATTGGAGAAGGGAATGGCTACCCACTCGATTATGCTTGCCTGAAGAATTCCATGGAGAGGAACCTGGTGGGCTACAGTCCTCGGGTCTCAAAGAGTTGGGCACAACTGAGCAGCTGACACTTTCACTTTCACTTCCAAACATCCACTGGCGTGTACAAAGGCAAGACCCTTTCCTGAAGCCACCTTCACGAGGGGTAGGGGGTGTCCTAAGACTCAAAGCAGGGTCCTGAGAGTTAAGGAGAAGTAGATCTGGGGAGAGGCATGAGGAAGAGGGAGGGGAGAGGAAAGTGTGGGAGGAAAAATTCAAATTACATGGGATTGTTTGGGGCCTGGGAGTAAACCAGACAGAAAGGGATCTGTGTACATTGATGGTGGCAAACTCCATTGTAAAGGAAGGCTGAGATGGGCAGTAAAGTGCCTTCAAAGCCAACCGATATGAATCTGAATTTTCTGGAGGCCCAGCAAAGTATTAGAAAGAGGACTCACAAAGTAAATATAATCTGCCCATGTCATGATGGAATCTGAATTAGGAAGCAAAAAGACATTTAGAAGGTTGTTGGGCTAATGATCTGGACATGCTGTGTTTGTTGCCTGTACTTAGCAGTGACTGTAGAAATGGGGGAAAAAAAAGAGATGGTTGACAGAGAGCATTCTGAAATAAGAATGGGAGAAGAAAATGGAAGAATCATGTGGAATCTAGAAAAATGGTACAGATGAACCTATTTGCAGGGCAGGAATAGAGACTCAGACTTAGAGAACAGATGTGTGGACACAGCGGCGGGGAGCTGGGGGATGAATTGAACGAGTAGCACTGACATATATGCACTACCATGTATAAAGCAGATAGCTGGTGGGAAGCGAGGAGATCCAACCAGTCCATCCTAAAGGAAATCAGTCCTGGGTGTTCATTGGAAGGACTGATGTTGAAGCTGAAACTCCAATACTTTGGCCACCTGATGGCAAAGAGCTGACTCATTGGAAAAGACCCTGATGCTGGGAAAAATTGAGGGCAGGAGGAGAAGGGGACAACAGAAGATGAGATGGTTGGATGGCATCACCGACTCAATGGACATGGGTTTGGGTGGACTCCAGGAATTGGTGATGGACAGGGAGGCCTGGCGTGCTATGGTTCATGGGGTTGCAAAGAGTCAGACACGACTGAGCAACTGAACTGAACTGAAGTGGGAAGCTGCTATATAGCTCAGGAAGCTCAGCTTGGTGCTCTGTGGTGACCTAGATGGGTGGGATGGAGGTGGGGTGGGACGTAGGGCCAAGAGGGAGAAGATACATGTGTACACATAACTGGTTCACTTTGTAGTACAGCAGAAATTAGCACAACATTGTACAATTAAATTAAAATAAAATACTTACTCAAATTATAATTTAAAAAATAATTACTCAAATTATTAAAAAAATAATAAGTCAAATATTTTAAGAACAGGTGATTGAGAAAATGAAACCACTGATATTTTCCCCAGAACTCCCAGTCTCCATGCTTCCTTGAATATCTAGTCCACCCAGTTTCCAAATCCAGCCTTAGGTCAACTTTATGTCAGTCCTTATCGATTTCTGTTTTCTTCTCTCTTCAGCATCATGACTGTGGACACACATTCCTCTCGCCTGTCCCCACTTCCCCCCGCCCCATAACCAAATGCTCTAGCCCCAGTGAGGCTCCTCTTATCCTTCACACATACCATGAACTTGTCCACTGTCATACAGTTCCTTTCTCTCTCCCCTCATTGTCATTCCTGGCAAATTACAGTTCATCTTTCTGCAGACACCTCACAAATTGCCTCCTCTGCAAAAATGTCACTAATTTCTCAGTCATTCCTTCCTGCATATTCTAGGAGCACTTTGTAACTACCCATCTATGGTACCTAACAAGGTACATTTGTATCATATGTTTTTGTGTCAATTTTCTGCTGCATTTAATAGTTGTTTTAAAATTTTTAACCATTTTTCACTGAAGTATAATTAATTCACAATCTCATGTTAGTTTCCAGTGTACAGCAAAGTGATTTGGTTGTATGTATATCTATTCTTTTTCAGATTATTTTCCATTATAGGTTACTACAAGAGATTGAATATAGTTCCCTGTGCTATTCAATAATTTTAGAAGAGTGGGAACCAATATTTATTTGCCTTTGTATCTACAAGCCTAAGGTAGAGGCTAGAATATATTAAATTCTTCAATAAGTGTTTTATTTCATCTTCTGAGACATTGAACCTGGAACTTGGTTTATGGGCAGTATATTAATCATGATTTAAAAACTCAAAACCACCTCTCCCACAGGTACAAAGCAGTCACAGACGCATGTTCTCTTCAACCAGATATCGACTTACTACCATTTGGAGACCAAACTGAAATTGGAGAGAGGGTGAGCTATGTGTAGTGTAATTACACAATGAACACAAATCCAGAAAAGTCTTCCAGTTATCTTTAACCTTTAATGGAAAATAAAAAAATCGGAGAGCACCAGAATTATGTTTTCCTAGTGACAAGTTCTAGAAACAGAAGCACAGGAATTCTTGATGCCACTGTCTTAAGGATGTGTTGAGTAACTAGCATGAACTTCACATTTTGCTAGCCACTCAGGAATTCTCAAGGGAAAGGAACAGTCCCTGCCTTTGATCAAATGTATTTTTACTTAACTTGGAGTTTACTTTAAATTGGTTTGGAAACCGAGATTGCTTCCGACAACTTTTTCCACTCTTGTCAACATCCATTTATTCTTGTTAAAGTGTTCTTTTTGCTTTGTATAAACAGGTTTTACATTGGCGTCATACTGTTCCAACTAGCCGAAAAATATTTATATCTGTATATAATTTTTATAACAATGTTGGCTAAAGTGTTTCACTCTTATGGGGTCAAGTACTAAGCAAAAGACTATATATATATATATGCATTATTTGCTTTTACAAATCTGTTACATAGATGTTTTGTTATCTGCGTATTGTAGCAGAGAAAGGTTAAAGAACTTGCCTGGTCAGAGTCACTGGGACAGTTGAGATTGGTCTAACTCTGTCGTCTGTGTTATTCATTGCTGTTTTTTATTGCAGCGTGGTATTGTGTTTAAGAACATGACCTGAACTTCTCTAAGCCTTAGTTTCCATGTGGAGAGCAATACATTGAAATTGCTATGATAAAAGAAATAAGGAATGGAAAGCCATACACAGTAGCCTGACACATTTTACTAAAGTGTTAGTTGCTCAGTCATGTCCGACTCCTTGCAACTCCATGGACTATAGCTCATCTGTGCAAGGAATTCTCCAGACGAGAATACTGGAGTGGGTAACCATTGCCTTCTCCAGGGGATCTTCCTGACCCAGGATTGAACCCAGGTCCCCCACACTGCAGGCAGATTCTTTACCATCTGAGCCACCAGGGGAGCTGTCACATACTAAGTGCTCAGTAAATAGTAGTTTTTCACATTTGTATAATTAGCACTTGATTATAAAAGCATGCTGCTGTATAGTTCACTTGAACACAACTTGTAATATTGAATTTAAGAGACATGTTAACTGTTAAGCATACTACAGACACAATTCATGAAACTAGAAACAATTTCGAGATTATTTCCAGTCTTCAGCACTCATTTTGGTTTTTCGTTATTAATATTTTTGTATAGCGGAGCCCTCTATTAGAGTGAAAAGAAGATTAATATTACCAGTCAAAGATGATCTTAATATAATTCAAGTGTTGACCACTAGAAAGCTCGCATTTTGTCTTCCCAGTGTTATCACTCTTTAATTAATAAACTACCATTAATTTAAGATTTTTAAAGAGAAGTTTGTATTTTTAGGGAATTTTTTTTTAACCAGCAGATTATTACTACTGTAAATGGTGAATGTTAATGGGTATTTCCTCTCTAGGGCATCAACCTGAGTGGAGGTCAGAGGCAAAGAATCTGTGTGGCCCGAGCTCTCTATCAAAATACCAACATTGTCTTCTTGGTAAGAATATATGGTCTTCCCTTTCTACTTCATCTTTCCCTCTGGACAAATGCGTCTTTAAGGAGATAAGTAACTCAGGGAAAGATGGCTTAACTTGTGAAATCACAGAGAATTAAGGCAAAACAAACCCTCAGAGTAAAAATCAGATCAACATGTAAGATGAGCATGGAGGACCCCAAGGGACTGAGATTCCCAAATAATTGCTTATATGCATTCTTAAACCATGAGGATCATTGATGAAAGGGTATGGATGGTGCTGGATGAACTGGACAGGATTATAGATCTTCTCATTTATATTTGCTGGTAGAAAGAAGGGCTGGAATATATTCTCTTGGTGGGCATAAGGGTTAGTAAGGATGCAACTAAGACTGTGGTTAAGATTTATCTGTAAAGTTTCCTGAAATTATTCTTAGAAATCTTGATACCAGCCTAGATCTACTAAATAATAATCTGTGAAGGCAGAGTCTAGAATCTGTATCTTAAAAAAGCTCTGTAGATGATTTTCTAGTATATTCTGGGTTGATAACCTATGGATATAGAAATAAAAATGGATGATTATATTGACTATGAATTTGCCCTAGTTTTATTCCTCCAGCAGATTGTAGCAAAAATCACTTAGCATACAATTAGACAGTGCCTGAAGATCAGCAGGTTATATAAATCCATCCTTCCCCTGCCTTCTTCTGTGCATGTGTTAACCATGTATAAATCTGGTTCTCAGACCTTTAAACTTTTCACTCCATCTAATGAACATCTTCAGAAAGTAGCTTGATTTTAGAGTTTTCCACTCCAAAATTTTGGATCCTTTACAGGGTATTAAAGTAGAAAATGAAAGTATTACTGGAAATACACTTCAGGTTAATGTCTGTAAGAATTCCTGCCCCCATGTTTTCCAGAAAACAGCACTATAAAAGACATAGCAGGATCTAGCAGTAACCTGTTAAAACTCAACATTAAAAAGACTAAGATTGTGGCATTCGGTCCTATCACTTCATGGCAAATAGATAGGGAAACAATGGAAACTGGCAGATTTTATTTTCTTGGGCTCTAAAAATCACTGTGAATGGTGACTGCATCCATGAAATTAAAAGACGCTTGCTCCTTGGGGGAAAAAAAGCTATGATAAACCTAGACATCATGTTAAAAAGTAGAGACATTTCTTTGCCAACAAAGGTCTGTCTAGTCAGAGATACGGTTTTCCCAGTGGTCATGTATGGATGTGAGAGCTGGACTGTAAAGAAGGATGAGTGCCGAAGAAGTGATGCTTTTGAACTGTGGTGTTGGAGAAGACTCATGAGAGTCCCTTGGACTGCAAGGAGATCCAACCAGTCAAGCCTGAAGGAAGTCAACTCTGAATATTCATTGGAAGGACTGATGCTAAAGCTGAAGCTCCAATACTTTGGCCACCTGATGCAAAGAGCCAACTCACTGGAAAAAACCTTGATGCTGGGAAAGATTGAAGGCAGGAGGAGGAGGGGACAACAGAGGATGAGATGGCTGGATGGCATCATTGACTCAGTGGACATGAGTTTGAGCAAACTCTGGGAGATAGTGAAGGACAGGGAAGCCTGGCGTGCTGCAGTCCATGGGGTTACAAAGAATTGAACACAACTTAGTAACTGGACAGCAACAACAACCAAAATGTGACAAAATGTGAGCACATGTTGGAGAAATGGCACAATAGACTTGCTGGACACAGGGTTGCAAACCTTCAAACCTTCAATTTGAAAAAAAAATGCAATTTCTGTGAATCACAATAAAATGAATTGCAATAAAATGAGATATGCCTGTATCTGCAAAGTTCCATCTACCATTCAGATATCATTGTCACAGGTTCTGGGAAGTAGAACGTGGGCATCTTTGGGGACCATTATTCTGCCTGCCTCAGATAGCTCTTATTATTGGAAAGTTATTTTGGGATTAAAATCTGCTTCTGTATATTTTCCATTAATTGGCTTCCATTCTGCTTCTGCAATAGCAAATATATTTCCTTTGTATGGCCATAGCTCAATATTTTAATGTTATTGTCATAACTTGCCCAATTTACTTTTCTCTAGGCTGAGAAAGCTTAATATTTTTCATTCTTCAACAGTAATGTTATCTTTATAACTTTTCTTAATTCTGGATATAATAGTGTTTGTTAGGGTCCCTTTGAAAAAGCGTGTTCTAGATGCATTCTGATCAACTCAGATAGTCTTAAAACTAATGGAGCTTATGAGCTAAATATTATATTTTCTTCATAGCAGCCTAAAATTGAATAATGTTTTAGCAGCAACAGAATACTGTTGATCAGTCAGTTCAGTTCAGTCGCTCAGTCATGTCCGACTCTTTGCAAGCCCGTGGACTGCAGCACACCAGGCCTCCCTGTCAATCACCAACTCCTGGAGTTTACTCAGACTCATGTGTTTGAATAATTTCTCCTAGGTAAAAATATTTCACCCTTCGATTGTTTAAAAATTCACAGAGCACTTTCAATTGCAGTGTCATCTCATTTGATTCTTATGACTGTGCTGCTAGGGTAGATGGTTTCGTCATGGAAAGAGAGGAAATTTATACATAGGTGGAATGCCTTACCCGAGAACTAATGGCTAGTAAGTGATCGAGTATGAGCTACAACTTCATATCTTTTGAGTACTTTTCCTTTTTTTCTGTTTTTGTGATCAGCTGTTTCTTTTCTTTTTTTTTTAATTATTACTCAGTTACTGTGCTGTCTTTTGCTTTATTTCTGTCTCCCTTCCCCCTTTCCTTCCTACCTCCCTCCTTCCCTCCCTTCCTTCCTTTCCGTCCATCAATGTTTGAGTGTCATCAGAGTCACCTTCTATGCTGGGTACCAAGGAAACAAAGGAGAAAGAGACATTATTGTTATCTTTAAAGATCTCACATGTACAAATAATTAGTTTAAAGGCTTTATATTTTGCTGTAAACTCTAATTAAACTTTACCAAATTAGCCTTTACACCTCTATGCTTTTTTCCATGGTGGCTGCAACAATTTATATTTCCAACTACAATGCAAAAATTCCTTTTTCTCCACATTCTCACCAACATTAGTTATTTCTTGTCTTTTTGATAATAGCCAATCTAACAGGTATGAAGTGAAATCATTTTGGTTTTGATTTGTATTTCCCACATAATTAATAATATTAATATTAATGATAATTAATGATGTTGAGTACTATTTATGTTCCTTTTGGCCATTTTTTTCACTTTTTTGGAAAAAATATCTATTCAGATCCTTTGACCATTTTTTAATTGGATTGTTTGGATATTTTGTTATTGATTTGTATGAGGTTTTTATATTTTGGGGGCATTAACTACTTATAAGATACATGATTTACAAACATTGCATCGCATTCCATAAGTTGCCCTTTCATTTTGTTGATGATTTTCTTAATGTACAGAAATGTTTTAGTTTGATGTAGTTCTATTTATTTTTGCTTTTGTTGCCTTTGTTTTTGGTATTAAAATTTCAAAAACATTGCCAAGACCAACGTCAAAGAGCTTATCCATTATGTTTTCTTCTAAGAGTTTTATGGTTTCAGGTCTTAGGTTCATGTCTTTAATCCACTTGAGTTCATTTTTGTGTATGATGTAAAATAGTGGCCCAGGGTTTGTTTTTGGGGTTTTTTTGCATACTGCTGTCTACTTTCCCCAACAGCATTTATTGAAGAGACTACTCTTTCCACATTGTATCTGTACATAGAGACAGTTTAACTTCTTCCTTTCCTATTTGGATGCCATTTCTTTTTCTTAACTAATTGATCTGACATAGTACTTCCGGTGTATGTGTGCCCAGTCACTCAGTTCATTTCAGTTCAGTTCAGTCTCTTAGTCGTGTCCGACTCTTTGTGACTCCATGCAGTGCAGCACGCCAGGCTTCTCTGTCCATCACCAGCTTCCAAAGCGTGCTCAAACTCATGTCCATCGAGTCAGTGGTGTCATCCAGCCATCTCATCCTGTGTCATCCCTTTCTCCTCCTACCTTTGCTCTTTCCCAGCATCAGGGTCTTTTCAAATGAGTCAGTTCTTCACATCAGGTGGCCAAAGTATTGGAGTTTCAGCTTCAACATCAGTCCTTCAATCTATTTGCCATGAAGTGATGGGACCAGATGCCATGATCTTAGTTTTCTGAATGTTGAGTTTTAAGCCAGCTTTTTCACTCTCCTCTTTCACGTTCATCAAGAGGCTCTTTAGTTCTTCACTTTCTGCTGTAAGTGTGGTGTCATCTGCATATCTGAGATTATTGATATTTCTCCCGGCAATCTTGATTCCAGTTTGTGCTTCATCCAGCCTGGCATTTCTCATGATGTACTCTGAACATAAGTTAAATAAGCATGGTGACAGTATACAAACTTGACATACTCCTTTCCCTATATGAAACCAATCTGTTGTTCCATGTTCAGTTCTAACTGTTGTTTCTTGACCTGCACACAGATTTCTCAAGAGGCGGGTAAGGCGGTCTGGTATTCCCATCTCTTTATGAATTTTCCACAGTTTGTTGTGATCCAGTCACTCAGTGGTGTCCAATTCTTTGGACCCTGTGGACTATAGCCCACCAGGCTCCTTTGTCCATGGGATTTCCTGGGCAAGAATACTGTAGTGGGTTGCCATTTCTTCCTCCAGGGGGTCTTCCTGACCCAGAAATCAAACCCACATCTCCTACACTGCATGGCAGGCAGATTCTTTATCACTGAGCCACCTGGTAAGCCCCATAGTATTAAACTTTCAGTACTGTGTTGAATAAAAGTGGTGAGACTGGGTATCCTTGCCTTATTCCTGATCCTACGGGGAAAACTTTCAACTTTTCATGACTGAGTGTGGTGTTAGCTGTGGGCTTGTCATATGTGATCTTTATTATGTTGAGGTATGTTTTCTTTATACCCATTCTATTCAAAGTTTTTATCATGATTGAATGTTGAATTTGGCCAATGTTTTTTGTGCTTCTATTGAGTTGATCATATGATTTTTATCCTTTATTATTGTGGTTATCATATTGATTGATTTGCAGATATTGAACCATCCTTGCATCCCTAGAATAAATCCAACTTATTCATGGTGTATGAATCTTTTAATGACTGTTGAATATGGCTTGTTAAGATTTCATCAATGATGTTTGCATCTGTATTCATCAGAAACACTGGTCTGTAATTTTCTTTGTGTGTGTGTCTGTGTCTTTGGTATCAGGGAATCATCGGTTTTAATATCAGGGTAATGCTAGCTTTGTAAAATGTTTGAGTGTATACTTTCCTCTTCTATTTTTTGAAAAAGTTTGAGAAGGATTGGTTTAAATCCCAGTTTAAATGTTCGATTGAATTCACCAGTGAAACCATCTGGTTCTGGGCTTTTATTTGTTGGGGTGTTTTTGATTACTAATTCAATCCCCTTACCAGTAGTTGGTCTATTCAAATTTTCTATTTTTTCATGATTCAGTTTTTGTAGATTTTTTTTTCTAGGAATTTATTCATGTCTTTTAGGTGTCCAGTTTGTTGGTGTTCGTCGTAGTCTCATGAGACTTTGCATTTGTGTGGTCACAATTGTAATGTTGCCTCTTTCATATATAGTTCGTTTGAATCCTCCCACTTTCTTTGGTGAGTCTTATTAGTGAAAGTGGAAGTGTTAATTGCTCAGTTGTGTCTGACTCTTTGTGACCCCTTGGACTGTAGCCTTCTAGGCTCCTCTTTCCATGGAATTCTCCAGGCAAGAATACTGGAGTGGGTTGCCATTCCCTTCTCCAGGGGATCTTCCCAACCCAGGGATTGAGCCCGGGTCTCCTGCTTTGCAGGCAGATTCTTTACCATCTGAACCACCCTGTATCTAATGAGTCTTGCTAAGGGCTTGTATATTTTATTTATTTAGTTTCACCAATCTTTCCTATTGTCTCTTTAGTTTGTATTTTATATATTTCTATTCTGGTCTTTGTTATTTCCTTCCTTCCATGAACTATGGGCTTAATTTGTTCTTTGTTTTTCTAGTTTCTTGAGATGTAAAGTTAGGTTGTTTATTTGAGGTCTTTCTTTTTTCCTAATGTGGGAATTTATTGCTATAAAATTCTCTTAGAACCAGTTTTGCTGCATCCCAAAAGTTTTGATGCATTGTGTCTCATTTTCATTTGTTTCAAGATATTATTTGATTTCCTCTTTCAGTGTCACCATTGGTTGTTCAGGAGCATCTTGTTTTATCTCCATGTATTTGTGAATTTTCCAGAGGTGGGGTTTATGATGAGAATGTGTCTCAACCTTTCCTACCTGTTTTGATGTATTTCTCTGTCACCTAAAATGTAGAAATCACTCTGTTTCTGGATCTCTTCCAAAGGGAATTGCTCCGTGTGCAGCTGTATATCAATGTGTCCATGGCAGGAGGGAGATTCAGGAGCCTCCTGTATTGTCATATTGGTCCAGAGTCTGAGCCTGTTTTTATTCGTGTCTAAAGTCGTGTCTAAAGTTGAATCGATATCAACTTTAACTACTATCGTATTCTTTGTTTTGGTTTATTGTTACAGGTTGTCAAGTAATGTTCGCTTTCGAACCACTCCAAATATTGTTATTTACTTTTAACATTATTTTTAAGGTGAAAGAGAAAATCAAATCTTCATTTTTAATTTAGTAGCTTTTTGTCATTTAAAGCTATTCAGAGTCTGTTTATTATAAAGTGAATTTTGTGGGATAATTTGCCTTTAGTTATTTGTATTTCTGTTTTCTGGAGGAATTTCATTACAAAGAAAATATGAAATTTTTTCATTATCTCTCCATTTTACTTGTTGTAGGATGATCCATTTTCTGCCTTGGACATTCACTTGAGTGATCACCTAATGCAGGAAGGAATTTTGAAATTTCTCCAAGATGACAAGAGGACACTTGTTCTTGTGACTCACAAATTACAATATCTAACACATGCTGACTGGGTAAGAGTTTAAAAGAAATTAAAAGAATTTTTATACTACAGCTATATAAATGCTTCCTGAGATAAATATAATTCACTTGGCCAATTATGGATTTTGTTGTAATTCTAATATATGCTTTCCTTAGATCATAGCCATGAAAGATGGGAGTGTTCTAAGAGAAGGGACTTTGAAGGATATTCAGACCAAAGATGTAGAGCTGTATGAACATTGGAAAACACTAATGAATCGGCAGGATCAAGAACTAGAAAAGGTAATTGCTCAGAGTTAGAAGAGCTCAGAGTTCAGATAAGAAGAGTCAGAAGTACAGTGCAAAATTACCAAAAATACTTTTAAAGAAGTATTACACTTAATTTTTTATTATATAATAATCTCATCTGAAAATGAAATAATTGTATATTTATATACCATTAATTGATAAACTACTTGGAAACTGAGAAAATTCTAATGATATCTTTTACTATCAGGCCTTTAGAAGATTTTTATTTGAATTGGAGGCATATTGTAATTATATGTGTGTTTAAAACAATCATATATGCATTTAAAACTTGCTCAAGCATGCTCTTTCCTCATTTTATCTTATTTTCCCTTATGTATGTCTTATTTTACTCACCTTCAATATGAGTTTTTCATTCGTCACTTACAAATGGAGGGTTGTGGGCAAAACAAAATCTGAGATGATTTTGAAAGAAAGAAGATCTGTTAGCTATGGGTATGGTGCAAAGTATGCCTGAGATACAGTTGGGAGAGATGAAGGAAGGTAATCAGAAAGAAATTACAATGAAATTTTATATTTAGATAGTTTTTAAAGTCCATAAAACCTTTTTTACATGATCTCTTTTACTTCTCAAAAAATAGGAGAAATAAGCAAAGAAAATATGATCTCACTTTTACCAATGGGAAAATTGAAGCTCAGAGAGGCTAAGTAACTTGCCTAAATTTGTACAGGATATATAATATTTTGTACCAATTGGATTTAAACCCAGGTTCATACCAATGTATTGTATTTATATAATATAAATATAATATTGAATGAAATTATAACAGAGTTGAAAACCAATTGAGTATGATGAAAGAAAAACCACTCATGGTTGAGAGGTAAAGTGTAAATTTAATTAGTAAATTTTCAAAATGTTTTCTCTTGAGTTGTGGTACTAGAAAAGGTCCAGAATTCAATAGTCCTGGTCAGGAATGAGCATTATAAAATGAAAATGTTTATATCAGCAAATTTCTGAAAATGTCAAGAAGTTAAAATGTATTATTTCTTAAAGGAAAAAATAATCTTGTTTCAATAGCAGAAGAAAGATAAAAAGTCAGACAAACCATCGGATTGCTCTGTCTTCTGTGAGCTTGCCAAAGATATCAAAGGCCAATTACAAACGTCTCAAAATAAGGAAGAAAAGCCGTATGTAAACGTCTTAGTAGAGTAGGACAAATCATAGAACCTTTGAAAGGAGGATATCCATCAAAACATTACAGTGTACAAATGGCAAGAGCTCACTTAGAAATTATGCAGTGATATGCTTGATAATAAACTTACTGGGATGCCTCCAAATGACATTTTTTTCAGTGGTCTAGGTGCCAGGGACAAAAGAATATGATGTAAGCTTAAGGAGTGGACCATTTATGGTTTACTTTGAAAAGAAAATCTGGAAAAACCGCAAGAGAGGAAGGGGGGTGCTTTTGGCTTGATTTTGAAGTAATACTGACTACTGAGCATGCCAGGAAGAAAGTCTGTTACATTGTGTTTAGAAATGAAGTGATCACTCAAGAAACCATAGCTCTATAATTAAAGACACATCACAGGGTTATAGGGCTCCCGTGGTGGCTCAGACAGTGAAGGATCTGCCTGCAATGTGGGAGACCAGGGTTTGATCCCTGGGAGAAGGGAATGGCTACCCACAACAAGGGAGCAAGGGCTACTGGCATCTAGCGGGTAGAGGACAGGGATGCTGTTAAACATACTACAATGTACAGAACAGCTCCCACAACAAAGGGTTTTCTGACCCAAAATGTCAATGGTGCCAAGGTTGAGAAAAGCTGGCTTAGCACCAGAGCAGATCAAGCAAGTGGAGAAGGAAGTGAAACTAAAGGTCTCACAAAACATCCCATCTTTGGTCTTTAGACAGATCAGTCAGTTTAAAGGTTCAGGAACAATGGGAAAGTATGCTAAAGAGGATAGTAATGACAGCTTTGAGAAGAAGTTGATAACACTTTTAGCTGATTTAAATGTTGTTAAAAATTCTGCCTTGGATGGCATCACCCATTATCTTCATAATATTATTAAGCAAAATAAAGTAGCATCTTTGGATGTTTCTTCCCTCAGCCTTCAACCCTCACTTTGATTCAACTTTTCCCAGGCATTCAATAAATATGCATTTAATCGTTGTTGTTATTTAGTCGCTAAGTTGTGTCTGATTCTTTTGCGAGCCCGTGGACTGTAGCTTGCCAGGCTCCTCTGTCCATGGGATTCTCCAGGCAAGAATACTGGAGTGAGTTGCCATTTCCTTCTCCAGGGGATCTTCTCCACCCAGGGATCAAACCCACATTTCCTGCTTGGCAGGCAGCTTGCTTACCACTCAGCCACCTGGGAATCTTTATGTATTAGATAAGTGAAACTAAATTTGTATTTACTTAATCCATATGTCAAAACAGTTTAAAATATTTAATCTCAGATGAGCTTAGTGTGAGCATTTTCTCATAAGGAAAATGACTAAAGATTAAAGTCCCCAAGATGATAACTCTTTTGCTCACATAGATTGGCAACTTCTGTTTATTTCATTTCATTACACTATCCAAAAATATCAGTTCTTTTTTAATTTTGTTTACTCTCAAAAGATAGTTTACAGTGTACAAATATGGCTTTTCATATCATTAGGCACAATTAAAAGCTAATGTGAAATTATCTCTGAAAAATACTATTCAAAAGACACTTTTGCTTCTACTTTTTTTTTAAAAAGCAAGAACTTGGAAGCAACAGAGCTTTCTAGAATAGCAAGTCTCCTAAATCACACATTGTATGAGGCCAAACAAACAAAAACAAAACAGGACCACTATCTAGAGACTGATTATCAAAGAATTATTGGTTTATCCCTGTAACAAACAGATTTTTTTTTATATATTAGCATGTACAGGAAGCCCTTAAATTACTGTCAATTCCAGAAGTCAGTGGGTCAGTTATTTGGAACTCAGAATGCATTTCCCCACAGAAACAGAGATACGGGTGGTTTCCCAGACTGTCCTGCGGAAGCTGATTTAACCCACAGTGTAACTGAACTGATACTAGTCCAGTTCCAAAGCCAAGAGGGCAGAATGTTGGAGGCAGAGAACTGGAGAAAACAAAATGCTTTTCCCTTTCTTAGCACAGGATGAGTCTGGAGCAACCCTTAAAATTTTGCAGTTTGTGTTTGATGTTTTCCCTTCTCTCCTTTCCCATTTACTTCAAAAACCCGCCTTCCTCTTGTTTCTATTGAAGTCTCTTTTGTTCATCCCCTGAATGAGATCCTCAGTCAGAACCTCATCTTGATTTGACAATTCATAATAGTGTATGACTGATAGTGCTTTAACCAATCCAGAACTACATGCGGTTTTAAAAGATGTTTGTTAACATTGATGAGTCATTAGAAAAATTCAATCAGTTCAGTTTAGTTCAGTCACTCAATTGTGTCCGACTCTCTTAGACCCCATGGACTGCGGCACGCCAGGCATCCCTGTCCATCACCAACTCCCGGAGTTTACCCAAACTCATGTACATTGAGTCGGTGATGCCATCCAACAATCTGTATTCTTTTTCAAGATTGTTTCGGCTCTTCTAGTTTCCTTGAGATTCTATGTGAATTTTAGCCTAGGTTTTTCTTATTTCTGTAAAGAAGTCATTGGAATTTTGATCGGGACAATCTGTAGGTTGCTTTGGGTAATATTGGCTTCTCAATAATTTTAAGCTTTCCAATCAATGAATATAGGATATGTTTTTGCTTATTTAAGTCTTCTGAGACTTCTTTCAGCAATATTTTGTCACTTAAATTATACAAGTCTTCCACTTCCTTGGTTAAGTTTACTCCTAAGTATTTTAGAGAAATGCAACTGGTTTTTGTGTGTTGACTTGTGTTCTGATACTTTGCAGAATTCATTTATTAACTCTAACAGGTTTTTTGTGGAATATTTAGGACTTTCTACATATAAAATCATATCTACTATGAAGAGTTATTAGTTTACTTTTTCTTTTTCAGTTTAGATAACTTTTATTTCCTTATCTTGCCTAACAGCCCTGAAACTTGCAGTACTATGTTGAATAGAAGTGGCAAAAATGGACATACTTATGTTGTTCCCCATCTTAGTGGAAAAGCTTTGAATCTGTCACCACTGAGTATGATGTTTGCTGTGGGCTTCTCATATATGGCTTTTATTACATTTAGTAATTTCTTCTATTCCTAGTTTGTTGAGTGTTTTGTCATGAAAGAAGGCTGAACTTTGTCAAATGCATCAATTCGGATAGTCATGCGGTTTTCCTTCCTTCATTCTGTTATTGTGGTGTATTACACTGATTGATTTTGATACCTTGAACTATCCTTGCATTCCAGAAATACACCCACTTGGTCATGGTGTATAATCCTTCTAACATGCTGCTGAATTCCACTTGCTGGCCTTTTCTGAGGACTTTTGCATCAGTGTTCATAAAGGATGCTGGTCAGTAGATTTCTTATAGTGTCTTTGGTTTTGGTGCCAGGGTAATGCTTGTCTCACAGAATGAGTTAGAGAATATTCCCTCTTCTCCTTGTTTTGAGAAACTTTGAGGAGGATTGGTATCTGCTCTTCTGTGTTTGGTAGAATTCAAGTTAAGCCATCAGGTCCAGGACTTCTCTTTGCAGGCAATGTTTGATTGCAGGCGCACCGTGCTTTTCTGCACTCGCCGTCATTGCGCGTCACAGATGCTGCAGTTTTTGCAGACTGAATGTTTGTGGCCGCCCGGCATTGAGCACGTTTATCACCACCAATTTTCCAACAGTGTTCGCATATTTTGTGTCTCTGTGTCACATTTTGATAACTCTTGCAATATTCCAAACTTTTCCATTCTTACTATATTTCCTATGGTGATCTGTGATCTGTCATCTTTGATGTTACTATTGGTGTCGTGAAAGTGGTGGAAACAGCCAGAGAACTAGTATTATAAGCAGAGCCTGAAATGTGACTGAATTGCTTCAACCTCATGATGACAACTTGAACAAATGAGGAGTGGCTTCTTACAGATGAGCAAAGGAAATGATTTCTTGAAATGGAGTCTATTCCTGGTGAAGATGCTGTGAAAATTGTTTAAATGATAGCAAAGGACTTAAAATAATCTCATAAACTTTGTTGACAAAGCAGCAGCAGGGTTTGAGAAGACTGACTCCAATTCTGAAAGGAGTTTAGTGGTGGGTAAATGCTATCAAACAGCATTGCANATTCAACTTCAGCTTCTTCAGCATTACTGGTCGGGGCATAGACTTGGATTACTGTGATATTGAATGGTTTGCCTTGGAAACGAACAGAGATCATTCTGTTGTTTTTGAGATTGCATCCAAGTACTGCATTTTGGACTCTTTTGTTGACTATGATGGCTATTCTGTTTCTTCTAAGGGATTCTTGCCAACAGTAGTAGATATAATGGTCATCTGAGTTAAATTCACCCATTCTAATCCATTTTAGTTCACTGATTCCTAAAACGTTGACGTTCACTCTTGCCACTTCCAACTCTTTGACCACTTCCAATTTGCCTTGATTCATGGAACTAACATTCCAGATTCCTATGCAATATTGCTCTTTACAGCATTGGACCTTGCTTCTATCACCATTCATATCCACAACTGGGTATTATTTTTGCTTTGGCTCCATCTCTTCATTCTTTCTGGAGTTATTTTTCCACTGATCTCCAGTAGCATATTGGACACCTACAGATCTGGGGAGTTCATCTTTCAGTGTCCTATCTTTTTGCCTTTTCATACTATTCATGGGGTTCTCAAGGCAAGAATACTGAAGTGGTTTGCCATTCCCTTCTCCAGTGGACTATGTTTTGTCCACAGAAAAATTATAAGAGTATATGAAGATGATATAAAAACAAAACAAGGACCAATGGTGGGACCAGGTTTAATGCTAGAAGAGGTGTCCCCCTGCCCCTGGGGTCAGCTCCATCACATTGTTACTACTTTTCCTGGCTTCTTACTGCCTTTTGCCCCGAGCTCTGATACATTCCCCGAAGGCCTCAAGTGTTACTTCACACCTTCTCCTATGATAGGAGTTGTCCATATGTCTGCAGTTGTCCATCCATCTCGAGCAGAGAGCTCCAGACCCAGAAAGGTAGCTAACGGTTGGTATTTGGTACATGTGGGTCATTGACTGTAAGTAGAATTTGCCTGTGGCTGTGAGCTCTTGCATGACAGCACCATGTTTCCTGTAGGATATGGAAGCTGACCAAACAACTTTAGAGAGGAAAACACTCCGAAGAGCCATGTATTCAAGAGAGGCCAAAGCCCAACTGGAGGATGAAGATGAAGGTAGATCTTTTTAAAAAAAACATTCCAATGGGTAATAGGATATGGAAGTCCTCTTGGCAATTGATGTGTGTCTATCTCAGTGCAGAATGACTAGCCACTTTGCAGAGCAGTGAAGGCAAAGTCAAATACATGAAACTGAAAATGGACAGAAGGGGAGTGAAATCAATAGATGTATATAGATGTATGTAAACAGGTGTATGCTGTCAAACGAGGCATCTTGAGGGGTTCCCCAATGTGTATGAGTGTTCTTGTGTTGTGTGTGTGAGAAATGACAGGACAATGGATCTAGACCCTTGTTCAGATAAACTGATAAGGTCTAGTATAATAAAATGTCAGTCCTTGGGAAATAAACAGTACATGGGAAATACAGTGAAATACAGTGAAAATACTGCTTTGAGTCTGTAAGTTTTTATGGGGTTCTCTTGATAAATAGCAATGAAGAATAAGAGAATTAGAAAGCTATTTGTTGTGTTTCAATTTTCTGGATCTAATAAAATATAGTGGGTGAAAAAGGTTTACTGGAAATTTGAGGAATAAAATGAAATAGTTACATTGCTTTGACATTTGTTGCCAAGACGTTTGTAAGATAAACCATAAAAGTCCATAGAGTAAGTGTACTGTACTTCAGTCTTCCTACATGGATTTTGCCTAGGACCACATTTCCATGGGCAAGTTAAGAGAAGATTATCATTTCGAGCAGAAGGACACCAAAATGGGCCATCTTTACATTTACATTTACATTTCAGATGATAATTATTCTGTGTTTCAGTAAATACTCATTGAGTAAATGAATGAATTAATTAATGACTTTTTCACTCCCATTTCTTAGATTTTAAAATATTTTAAAAGAATATTTGGGGACTTCCCTGGTGGTCCAGTAGTTAGTGTTTTCACTGCTGTGGCCCCAGGTTCAGTCTCTGGTCAGGGAACTAAGATCCTGTAAGCCCCATAGGGCAGCCGAAAAAAAGAGACTGTTTGGTACTGAATAGCCTTTAGAACTGCAGTTACTCTCTCCAGTATGTCAGTGGGAAACGCAGCATGTCAGGGGCTGACTCTGTCCTGGGCTTGCTGTGTTAATTCAGTTGTTCATGTGTAAAATAAGATAATGATACTTTGGTTTCAGAGTGAAAGAGGAAATGTATAAGAAAGATCCCAGTAGGTACATATTACCTGCTAGGTTGCTGATGCTATTATCCAAGTCAGTTGAATCCGCCAGGAAGGGAAAGAAAAGTAGTTGCCCATATTGTTTCTACTACTGACCATTGGCTAGATCATCATGTGAACAGACTAGGTTCTGAGAAAGTGTAGAAATGCTGGCTTTAGCTGGGTAGCCATAGACAAGGTAAAATTTCAATTAATATATAAACAGAAAATGGATATTGAGGAGACAGGTAGCAATCTGCAAGTGTCTACCTCTTTGATCATGCAAATTTCTAACTCTGTTTCACTCACAGACCCACCCTCACCAAAGGGTAGATTATCTGACACCTGTTCTTTTTTTGTGTGTGTCCTTGGATATCTGAAAATGTCTTTATTTGGCACAAAATTCTAGGTAAAAACTGTTTTCCCCCAGATATTTGAAGGTTCTACTGCCTTCCAGTGTTGATTGATACCTCCTGTCTGATAATAGTGATCTCATGACTCTTTGTTGATGACATGCCTTTTCTCTCTGAAAGTGTTTACAATCTTCTCTTTGTCCTTTATGCTCTGAAATCGCAAAAGGATGTGCAGCTGTGTATATTTTTCATTTCCCCTTTTCAGTTCCGGTCTTCCCTGGTGGCTCAGATGGTAAAGAATCTGCCAGCAATGCAAAAGACCTGGGTTTGATCCCTGCATTGGGAAGATCTCCTGGAGAAGGGCATGGCAGCCTGCTCCAGTATTCTTGCCTGGAGACTCCCCATGGACAGAGGAGCCTGGCAGTCTACCGTCCGTGGGATCCCAAAGAGTCGGACATGACTGAGCATCTAAGCACAGCATTTCTCAGTTCTAATGCTGAGATCTGTTCCTCTTTTGTATCTAGCTCAAATATGAAGATCCTTGATGATAGATCAGTCTTCCCATCATATCCATACTTAGATCTCTGTTGTCTGATAATTTACAAACCAAATTATCTATCTTTCCTACTCACAGCCTGCTCATTCTACAGTAGTGGAGTACATACAAGATGACTACAGTGAAAACTGTCGTTAGGAAAAGAAAGGATGGGAAATACACCACAGTCGCTAAACCATTTGTTGTTTAGTTGCTAAGTTGTGTCCAGCTCTTTACAACCCCATGGACTGTAGCCCACCAGACACCTCTGTCCACGTGATTCTCCAGGAAGAATACTGGAGTGGGTTGCCATTTCCTTCTCCAGGGGATCTTCTGATCCAGGGATTGAACCCATGTGTCCTGCATTGCAGGCAGACTCTTTACCACTGAACCACCAGGGACGCCCTCACTAAACCATACAAATGACCAAATTTTACTGCTCAGGAAATACCATAGTTACCTGTCCTTGTAATGGAATATGTTCTTAAAATAGCTGTCTAGAAATTTCCAGGAGGTTTAAACAGCTGAGAGGAGCTCCCCACCTATTGTCCTCTGTCCCCTGGCTTTGCTTTCAGGAAGGTTCCATTTTGCTCATGCACCTCCATGACCACATTTAAAAAGAACCACAGAGATTATAGATTATGCCCTCTTGAGCTATGCACAAATTTCAAAGCCTGTTTCCTCCTGGTGCAGTTTTACAGATTCAGAAATATAAAGTTCAAAAAATTATAAATGTTTGCAAGTCTGGCATGTGGTTTTATTGGCACACAGTTCCTTCAATAATGTAATAAACTTCTAGTCTATAATTCTAGTTAGTTTATTGTAATAAATTAACAAGTTTTCTCATCCAAAACATAAACTTTATTTTTTCATTTATTCATTTTCACATGTTTTAAAATTTCTTTTGTATTGAGGTGACATTGATTTATAACATTATGTAAGTTTCATGTGTACAACATTGCATTTCTAGTTCTGTAGAACCAACGCTATGCTCATCACCAAAAATGTATTTCCGGTCTGCCACTATACAGTAGGTCACCTTAATCCATTTCATCTTCCCCTCCACCTCTTTCCTTTTGGTGATCACTACTCTGTTCTCTGTATATCCATGTATGTTTTTATGTGGTTTGGATTGTTCACTTACTTTGTTTCTTTTTCTTTTTTTGGTTGTTTTTTAAAATACACATATGAGTGAAACGGGACAGTATTTTGTGTTTGTCTGACTTGTTTCACTTAGCAGAATGCCCTTATCAAGATCCATCCCTGTTGTCGTATATGGCAAGAGTTTGGTCTTTTTAATGACTGAGAATTATTTCATTGTATATATATACCACAGCTTCTTTATCCATTCATCTGTTAATGGGCACTCACCTATTTTTTTTTAAATGTTTATTTATTTATTTGACTGTGTCATCTCAGTTGTGTCACATGGGATCTTCGCTGAAGCACGTGGGGTGTTTAGATATGGCACACACAGGCTCTTCTATAGTCGTGGCACATGGGCTCTGGAGCATGTGGGCTGAGTAGGGGTGGTGCATGGGCTTCATTGCCCCATGGCATGTGTAGTCTTAGTTCCCTGACCAGAGACTGAACCTGCGTCCCCTGCATTGAAAGGCGGATCCTTAACCACTGGACCACCAGGGAGGTCCCTCACCTGTTTTTTTTTAAAATGATGCTTTTCTCTGCTAAAAACATTTAAATTTCTAAGACTTGTATTTCTAAAATTTGATGAAGGTTTGTTGGTAGGTGGGAATGATATAAATTCTATATCTACCTGTTGCCTGTCAGAATATTAAACAAGTGCTTCTTATGCAGAGGAAGAAGAGGAGGAAGATGAGGATGACAACATGTCCACGGTAATGAGGCTGAGGACTAAAATGCCATGGAAGACCTGTTGGCGGTATCTCACTTCTGGAGGATTCTTCTTACTCTTCCTGATGATTTTCTCTAAGCTTCTGAAACATTCCGTCATTGTAGCGATAGACTACTGGCTGGCCACGTGGACCTCAGAGTATAGTATAACCAGTACTGGAAAAGCTGATCAGGTACAGTGGGTTTTGTTTTTACATTATCTAGGAAATGTTGAGATGATACTCTTATCTAGTTAGATACAAATAGCTCAGATGTCACAGGAATTTTGTGAGGTTTTTTTGTTTGTTTTTATTGGAGTATAGTTGATTTACAATAGTGTGTTAATTTCTGCAGTACAGCAAAGTGATTCAGGTATACATATTATACATTCTTTTTCATATTCTTTTCCATTGTGGCTTATTATAGTATATTGAATATAGTTTCCTGTGCTATAGACTAGACCTTGGTGTTTATCCATTCTCTGTGTAATACTTAACAGCTGCTATTCCTGAACTCCCAATCCATCCCTACCCTACCTGGCTCCCCCTTTGCAACCAAAGGTCTGTCCTCTGTGACTGTCACAGTACTTTTGTAATGATTCAATAGGTTAATTAGGGCAAGACCTGAAATATAATAAGGAATATTTAATGATAATGCTTGCGTTTGGATTCAAGGGAGTTATATACATGGTGTATATGTGTGTGTGTGTGTGTGTGTGTGTGTGTGTGTGTGTGTGTGTGTATAATATGCACACAGGACTTTTGTTCTTATTCTGATGGTATCTGATTTTAACTGCTACACCAATGAATCAGCTGGTCATTCTGAGATTACAGATAGAAAGAACTTTATGATATTAAAAAGTCAAGAATATTTCACACCAGAAAACTAACTCTAATGCTTCATCTACCCTTTGGCAAACCCTGAAAGAGAGTGAAGGGAACGAGCGGGAACTCGGTCATGGGATTATGGTGGGGATACTGCCCTGAGTATCCCCAGGAGTATCCCCAGGAGAACTACCCTCCTTCCACTGTGTAAATTAATGTGAGATCATAGAAATTGACAGTATTGCCAGACTTTGACATTTGGTGTCCTAGCAAGAAAAAACTCAGTTGATAATGTCATCTGTGCTTTTTTGTACTGGTTGCTTTTTAGACCTACTATGTGGCTGGATTTAGCATACTTTGTGGAGCAGGTATTTTCCTCTGCCTTGTTACATCTCTCACTGTGGAATGGATGGGTCTCACAGCTGCTAAAAATCTTCACCACAATCTCCTTAATAAAATAATTCTTGGACCAATAAGGTAAAAAAGTAGTTATTTATTTTACAAGATCATAAAAATATGCATTTTACATTAAAGTGAAGTGTGAAATTTTAAAGAATTTATTCAGTCTTTCAGCAGATGAATAGGGATAGTCTCATTTTTATGACACCAAGATGTCTATTAGCAGTGTTTAGGCTCCAGATCATTTAGAATTATAATACATCCAATCTGTTTATTGCCTAGATTCTTTGATACCACACCACTGGGACTGATTCTCAATCGCTTTTCAGCTGATACAAATATCATTGATCAGGTGAGTGCCTGAATTACTTCCAAGTTAAAAAAATAAATTTATCATTGTAAGCTAAACAACATTTTAAGATAAATGATGATTCCTGTTAACAGTAGAGGATTTCTAGAACCTAAATAAAAGCCTATTTGCATTCATATCAATATTACATATATACATAAATTTCTAGACTATGCAGTCTATGAAATATGCATAGATTTCTAGAATGAAATCTTAAAGGAAATAGATCAATTCAAAATAATTTATCCACATGGAAGAGGATACTTAGAGAATCAGCATGAAATAGAAATAGAAAAGAATGAACATTAAATTTTTTTATTGTAAAAAGAAGTGATTTTAATCAGTGTTGTATCTCCATTCATAGTAACGTTCTTAAAGTTTGGAATTAATGCAGAGTGTCTCCCAGAAGTGAAGCATGGAATACCAAGTTGTCTTAGATGTCCTTCACTTTTGTTAGGTTGATGTGATATTACATGATGGGATATTTTAGGGAATATTTCAAGGATGCCCGGTTTAGTCTTAGGTATTTAGGCCTCCAGAAGTTTGTCCTGAAATTAAAGACCTCAGAGTCTGAAATTGGATCTCCCTATGAACAGACTCTTTAGGGTGATTGATCAAAAACTTAGCAAATTCAGTTCTTTCCTTTTCTGATTTTCCAAAGTGGCCTTAAGAACACCTAAATTACCATCAATTAAGGTAAAGAATGATGCATGCAGCTAACTAAAATGTATGTTTAAAAATTTTGATGTTTTCACAATATTAGTGTCAGATTATGCTGCACCTAAAACACTTTCTAAGGAGTACATATTGGAAAAGAAGAGACAGAACACTCCTTATTTGGAAGATGACACTATTGCTACTTAGAGAGTTCAAACAGTTATGATGAAAGAATCAACTAGGAAGTTTAACAGAATATTTACATTAGATATGTGATACAAAAGCCAGTAACTTTCTCTCCACCAATTAAAAAAATTATGTGAAAAATACATTTAACCTATAATAACAGAAAAAAATATAAAAATAGAAATAAGCCTAGTATGAAGAAAAGTGATTCAACTATCCTGGAAATCATAAAAATCCTGTGTCTGTGTGTGTGTGTGTGTTTACTTTCCTTATCAGATACCTAAGAAATACTGTGAAATTAAAACACTCTGATGATTACAGAAAACAAATTGATCAAAAGAACAAAATTAAGAAGTCAAAAATACCAGTCTATCTTGAATCAGTAATAACGGGAATGTTTTTTCAGTAAAGGGTGTTGGGACATTTAACTATTTATAAAATACACAGCAAATTCACATGTAATAAAGGAGCCCATCTAATAACATAAAACTGTAAAATAAAATGTAGAAGAATACTTTTAGAAAACATGGGAAGTGTCTTTATAAGACACAAAATTCAAAAACAAACAAAAAGTCAACAGAAATGGCTCTAAAATTTTAAATTTCTATTGAGGTAAAAGCATCATATTAAAATATAATATATCCTTTGGGAGAAAAACTGGCAACTCATGTAAAGAAAGAGGATAAACATCCATGATATATAAAAAGCATCTAAAAATCAATAAGGAAGATAAACAATCCAGTTGAAAAGCATGCAAAGAATAATATGAAATTAAAATTATTAGAGATATAGCTGAAGAGTTTTTTAATACTATGCATCCCTTAAAAAGAAATAGATTTGTATATAGTGGCATGGGTATAATTACAATCCATCTTATTCAGTAAAACAAAGCAAGCAAATGGACAAAGGAGGTTTAGAGTTTATGTTTATGCTATTTATATAAAATAGTTTATGCTATTTGTTTAAAAAATCCCATAAGATATTAATAAATAGGTAGATAGGTAAATAACTGACCACTGGTTAAGCAGATAGGTAGAAAGATGGTAAATATACTAAACAAGGGGAAGTGAGTGAAATTGAAGGAGTGATGAACTGCTTACAACGAAAATGTTTATACATTAATTTTGGAACTAATTATGTAACTTAATATAAAATTAATGTGTTGTTGCCTTATTGCCAATGTTTTATTTGAGCTAAAACATTTTCCTTTCAAACTGCCTTCTTACCAGCATATCCCTCCGACTTTGGAATCTCTAACTCGGTCAACACTGCTCTGCGTGTCTGCAATTGGCATGATTTCTTATGCCACCCCTGTGTTCCTGGTTGCACTAGTGCCTCTTGGGGTCGCCTTTTATTTTATCCAGAAATACTTCCGAGTGGCCTCTAAGTAAGTAAAACACTGCTCTGTTCATCTTCAAAAGCCTGTGTATTTGATTGACTGTGATTCAGATTTGCTATAATATTTTGGTGGCTCAGGTGGTAAAGAATCTGTCTGCAATGCAGGGGACCTGTGTTCGATCCCTAGGTCAGGAAGATCGCCTGGAGAAGGGCAAGGTTACCCACTCCAGTATTCTTGCCTGGAGACTCCCATGGATAGAGGAGACTGGCAGGCTACAGTCGATGGGGTCGCAAAGAGTCGGGCATGGCTGAGTGACTAACACTGTTACTTTTCTCCAATTAAGATGTGGAATTTGGAAAAGAAACTTAATTTAACTTGATGAAACCTATCCTGATATTAAGTTTCATTTAGAGGGATATTTTGCTTCCAAGGCTTCCCTGATAGCTCAGTTGGTAAAGAATCTGCCTGCAATGCAGAAGACTCCAGTTCCATTCCGGGATCGGGACGATCCCCTGGAGAAGGGATATGCTACCCACTCCAGTATTCTTGGGCTTCCCTTATGGCTCAGCTGGTAAAGAATCCGCCTGCAATGTGGGAGACCTGGGTTCAATCCCTGGGTTGGGAAGATCCCCTGGAGAAGGGAAAAAGGCTACCCACTCCAGTATTCTGGCCTAGAGAGTTCCATGGACTATATAGTCCATGGGGTCACAAAGAGTCGGACATGACTGAGTGACTGTCACTTTCACTTTGCTTCTGTAATTGGTTGTCTGAACCTTTACATAGTCCTAGACTTATGTAAACAGGTTGATTGATCTGGTTGAGTTTTAAGTCCACAGACTATGCCCAATTTTTCAATCCATGGTCCTTTCTCTGAACATGGCATTGACAGAAAATTTATGAAACCAAATATAGCCCCAAAGAATAAGTAATTTAATATTATGTTCTGCAAGTGGGTAAATACAAATATTTTCAAATGAGTAAAATGCACTCTGTAAAAGATTAGTAGAAGTAAAAAAAGTTAAAGGGATAAATCAGAGTGATAACTATAAAAGTAGAGAATCTTGAATGTCTGGTAAGAGTACTGTGACTTTAAGAGGTTGGAAATTTCCAGATTGGGTTATTTAACATGCCCTTGAATATCCAGCCAAATAAAAGATAGCTGTGAATTTTAAATTCTTCTGCTAATATAAGATTTATCATTTGCTGAGATGTTGAATAATTAAGTGAAATATAGTACTAGTTGTTTGGAAATTTTCAGTTTAACTTTGAAGTTCTGCCTTAATAGTACTGTAAATTTTATATCATTGCGGTAATCTCTTTATTTCAACAAACACTTATTAGGCATTTAGTGTGTTGTAAATAACTGCACAAGCCATGTGACAGTGGAAGAGATCAACATGGCAAGAAGCAGTTCTCAAGAAATCTAGTTTCTTGGGAAGATAAAACATAAATAAGGTAACCCTTATGTGTGGATTAAGTGCTGGAATAGGAAGCCAGATATAGAGTTTATTCAGTAAAATGAAAAGATTCAATAGGACTTGATTGCAGGGATAATGAAAAAATTATGTGTGTGTGTGTGTGTATATATATATATGTGTGTGTGTGTGTGTGTGTGTGTGTGTGTGTGTGTCTGTATATATATCAGGTAACAGGAAAAAGCAGGATTAAGATTGGGAGTCTCTGGACTGTATCTGCAATTTTTTTTTTCTTGTTACATTTCATTATTCATTCAATTTAGAGGCAGGCTGATTTACCTTTAATCTCTGCAGTCTTGTCTTTTCCAGAATGTGACATGATTGGAATCATATAGTATGTGGTCTTGTCAGATTAGCTACTTTCTCTTAGAAATAAGCACTTAAGATTCATCTGTGTCTTTTCATGGCTTCAAAGCACATTCATAAAATAGAATATTATAAAAATAATTTATCATTGAATAATATTTATTTTATGAATTGCCATATTTTGTTTATCCATTTACCTATTGAAGGACATCTTAGTTGCTTCTAGCTTGGGGTTATAAATATTATGAATGTGTGTGTGCATACATGCTCAGTTGTGTCTGACTCTTTGTGACCCCTTGGATTGTAGCCCACCAGGCTTTTCTGCCCATGGAATTTTCCAGGCAGGAATGCTGGAGTGGGTTGCCATTTCCACCTTAAGGTTATCTTCCCCACCCAGGGATCAAACCCACATCTCCAGAGTCTCCTGCATTGACAGGTGGATTCTTTACCACTGAGCGACCAGGGAAGCCATTACTATTACGAATAAAACTACTGTAAATATTTGTATGGAGATTTTTGTGTGGACATAGGTTTTAAAATTGGTTGGGTAAATACATAGGAGCATGATTACTTGATAGTATGGTAAAACTGTTCAGTTTTATGAAAAACTGAAAAACTGTCTTCCAAAATAGTTGTTCATTTGCAACATTTCTGGAAAAAAAAAATTGTTTCTCCCTTGGGGATATAAGTTAGGATCCTTCAAATGTTAGGAACATATGTCAGACCTAGAGTGCTTTCTGATCTCTAGCCTCTTCTCTTTGCTCTTAGAAAATTCAGACCAGAAGGAAGAGGCTAGCCATTACATTTGCTCTTTCATTTCTTCTGGTATCACTGTTGATGTTGCTTGCTGGAGGGGCAGAAAAGTTCAGTCACTTCCTTTCTGCTGGCTGTTTCCAAATCTCTTCTTGCCTTCTCACCACTGATATTCAACAGTCATGTTTTACTTCAAACTCATGCTCATGTGGACCTGTTTTCATATCTGGGCAATAGAAGTTGAGTACAGAGGCCAAGCAAATAATCCTAGTTCTTTACAGATTTGAATTGCTAAGTCTTTTCCTCATAGTAGATTATTAAAATATGGAAGGGATGGTCATTTTTAAAGAGAGAACTTTGATAATGGATTATAAACCATTTTTATTTGAAATTCTCTGGTCGTTTGCAAATAGGACCACATGATATTAAATCTCATCCATAAAAAGACCTCTCGATGCTGAGGTTCTAAATAAAACACTCATATTGAAAATCTTGAGCAATTTAACACACTATTTTGTAAACACCGAAAGGAATTAAAGTGGGGGACTTGTTGTTCAGTCACTCAGTCGTGTCTGACTCTTTGCGACCCCATGGACTGCAGCACGCCAGTCTTCCCTGTCCTTCACTGTCTCCCAGAATTTGCTCAAACTTATGTCCGTTGAGTAGATGATGCCATCTAACCATCTCATACTCTGCCACCCCACTCTCCTCCTGCCCTCAATCGTTCCTAGCATCAGACAGGAAATGCCATTGAATTTTGAATATCTAACATCAAAGACCCCTGTGTGGCTAGCTCTGTAAGTAAGCTTTCCTATTTATAAGAGAATAAGGTCAAGCTGTAACCTCACCTTCCTGGTTTCATAAAACACAGTCCTGTAAAAAGAGGTTCTTCCTTCCTCATCTTTACCCCTTCAAGTCAGACCTCAATGTAGTGACCACTTGTTGCTTGTGTCAAATTTACAAATAGCCAGTGAGTTTTCTGTTTAAAATCGCAGACTCTTTACATTCCTTCATATTCATCCTCCTCTTCACCCCTCTCCTTCCTTCCCCTCATTGAGTTTCTGAAGTGAGAAATTCATTTTAGAAACTCACAGAAGGACTTTGCCTTTGGTCATGGGAGAACCCAGGCAGACCCAAAAGATCTAAGATTATTTAACAGTTGAAGATTATGTAACAATGTAATCAGTTCCATTGACTGACAGGTGAATATCAGCACTACTACTCTTGATTCCCTCCACCCCCAAAACCTAAGACAGACAGAAAAAAGGCTGAAAAGAAAAATAAAAGCATATTTTGAAACATGTGATAGAACTGTTAGCCTTCTAGAAAGGCTAGCTTGTGTGATTTACAAAGTTGTCTAGTGTGTGCATCTTTATAGAAAGGGTCTGATTCAGGCATTTGTCCACCAGCCATTCACTGAGCACTTTATTTACCTAAAAATATATATTGACACTTGGAGGACCGTGAATGCCAGTTCTATTTAGGGAGGAACTCAATCTCATTGTGGCTGAAGCCAAACTCATTATGTGTCTCTTCCGATATCTTCTCTGTCTCCCATCCTGGTAAATAGCACTGTTATCTTCCAAGTCTGCTGAGTAACAAACAAGCCATATTTGACTCCCCTCTCTTTTTAAATTTATTTTATTTTTAATTGAAGTATAATTTACAATATTGTGTTAGCTTCAAGTGTAGAGCAAAGTCGTGTCAGACTCTTTGTGACCCTGTGGACTGAAGCCTACCAGGCTCCTCTGTCCCTGGGATGCTCCAGGCAAGAACTCTGGAGTGGGTTGCCATGCCCTCCTCCAAGGGATCTGCCTCACCCAGGGATCTAACCCTCGTCTCTTATGTCTCCCACGTTGGTGGGTGGATTCTTTACCACTGGCACTACCTGGGAAGTGGAGAGACCACCTTTGAATTCTCTAGAGGAAATTTTCTTTTAATTATTGCAAGTTTATCTTATTGAATCTGGCTCCGGACTGTGGTCTGTGTAACAGCCTTTTACTTTTCTAGGTAGTTTTTTTAAATTATATTTCAGAAAGTATAGAAAATAGTATAATAAATACCCACACATCTACAAATCAGTAACAAGTAACAAGTCTTTACATTTTGCCGAGTTTTCGGCACATCACAGGTACCATGCACTCTCCACATGCCTCCACCAGGTGAGCCACTGTTCTGAGGCTGATGTCTGTCATTCCCATGGTAATTTTTGTAGTTTCATAGAGATGTTTATAGTGTGGAGTCAAAGTAGTGTTTTGACCTGTGTATATGTATTACTCTGCATGTATTAATCAGTAATATGATTTTCTTTTTACTCGATGTTATGTTTTGGAATTCACTCCTAGATGTGTTTCCCTGGTTCAGCTGTTTTAACCACTGTGTATCCGCCTTGTGTGTACACGCTGTGGTTTACTTGTCCATTCTCCTACTGAGGGGCACTTAGGTTATTTCCAGCATTGCTGCGAGATGACCTGTGTGGGTTTCATGTGCAGACATGTGATATCATCCCCAGGAGGCC